CAGGGTTCAAGCAAAGGAGCGGGGAGGGACAGGGGGCGGTGACAGACGGGAATCGGGATGGGGAGCAGGAAAGGGACAGGAATGGCCCAGGAACAGGGAGAGGGGACAAGTGACAGGGACAGGGACTGGGATCAGGGGACCAGGATCCCCTGCCAGATCGGGACAGGGACGGGACCAGAGCCCAGGGGACAGGTGATGGCAACAGGGACTAGGACAAGGGACAGGGACCAGGACTGGGACTGGGCCTGGGACTGGGGGCCAAGGACCAGGACAGGGATGGGGGGACGTGGCTGGGGACCAGGGGAAGGACAGGGACAGAGCTGGGGGTCATGGAGTGGGATGGGATTGGAATGGGGACAGGGACTGGGAGAGGGGACAGGTGTTGGGGACAGGAAATGGGAGAGGGGACAGGAACTAGGAGAGGAGACAGGGAATAGGGACAGCGATTGGGAGAGGGAAGAGGGACGGGGATGGGGACAGGGACTGGGAGAGGGGACAGGGAGAAGGGACAGGGACGGGGAGCAGCCCCGGGGCAGGGGGAGGGGACAGTGCCGGTGGCACGGGGTGTCCCCGGGTCCCACCTCGGTCCAGTTTGCTGTGGCGCTCCAGGAAGGCGAACCAGTGGTGGCCGGTGGCGATGGCGTCCCCCTCCCCGCTGGGGATGTCCTCGCGACACGCGGACTTGAGCTGCTCCAGGTCCTCGGCCGTGATGTTCTGGGCCAGCTCCTCCAGCAGACTGCGGTACTCGGCCATGGCTGGGGACAGAGGGGACATCAGGGACATCAGGGACACAGCCATGGCTGGGGACATCAGGGACATCAGGGACACAGGACTTGGACGTGGCTGCAGGGGCACAGGTGACATTTGGGACAGGGGACTCAGCTATGGCTGGGGACAAGGGACATGCAGGACATGGGGGACATGGGACTGGGACATGGGTGGCATGAGGGACAGGGGACACGGGCGTGAGTGACATGGGACAGAGCCATGTGTGACACGAGCGCTCCTGCTCTCAGCCACACGTGTCACGAGTGACAGGGGACTCAGCCACGTGTGTCACGATTGTCCCCAGCCTCAATCCCTGCTGTCACGATTGTCGCCACCCTCACCCCCTGGTGCCAGTTCCAGCCCTGGCCTCTGCCACCTGTGTCACAAATGTCCCCAGACTCAGCCACCAGTGTCCCCAGTGTCCCCAGCCTCACCCGCTGGTGCCAGACCAGCCCCGGCCTCAGCCACTCAAGTCACGATTGTCCCCAGCCTCAGTCTTGGTGTCACGAGTGTCCCCGGGCTCAGTCACCAGTGTCACCAGTGTCACCAGTGTCCTCAGCCACTCAAGTCACGACTGTCGCTGCTGTCACCGTGTCCCCAGCCCCGGTCCCGGTGTCACGACTGTCCCCAGTCCCCGCTGTCCCCGCGGGCTCAGTCCCGGTGCCAGCCCAGCCCCCCCGGCCGTGACTCATGTGACGCTCACGGGATGTGACAGGGACCGAGCAGGGACCGACGGCGGCTGCTCCGTGTCCCCCCCC